TGTATTTTAAGAATTATGAAAAAAATTAAACAATTTTTATAGATTTTTACATAAAATAAATTTATTGATAGTGTCTTTTTAAAATTATATTACAATATTTGTTGTTATTGTATCTAATATAGCAATTAATACAAAAGTTAAAACTTAATTCAATGACAATGAATGTTTATTTTTTATTTATAAAATCTCAAACACCAGTGATAAAATTATTTTAATGATAAAAAAATTGAAAAAATAGTTTAATCAATTATCATTATTCATGCAACAAATTTTTTCTCTTAAGTTATTTTATATATTTTTTAGCTTAAAATAATTTTATCCAATATTTTTTTATTTTATAATTAAAATATAATTATTTATTAACATTTTATAAAAATCAACTAACATCTTAATTAAAACGATTAATAAAGCATTATATTGGTAGAAAAATTTGGAAATCAAATCGAAGAATCAAGAAGGACAATTCAATTATACTAGTAGTTGTTGTAGTTTTATAAATAAACACGCTTTTAAAATTATCTAATACGAATATTAATTTTTATAATTTTTTTATTTTTAAAATTTTTTAGATTTTCATAATTTTATTTTATTTTGTTATTTTTCTGGTTTATATAATATGCAATATTATAGGACTTGGAAATAAAAATATAAAACTTAATATATATATATATATATATATATATATATATATATATATATATATATATATATATATATATATATATATATATATATATATATATATATATATATATATATATATATATATATATATATATATATATATATATATATATATATATATATATATATATATATGTTAGTGCGTGAAACACTTTTAGTGAGGAGAGAAAGAGAGAATAATAAAGGAAATAAGAATTTGTATTATTGAATTGTACAAATAATGATACACACTATGACTATTTATATACAATCCTAATTGGGCTTGGGCTAACACAAGTTGGATTATATTTAAATATTAAATGTAATCAAATCTAATTTAATAGTCAATCTGAACTATTCCTAATTTCTTTCTCAAATTCAGGAATCTTTCGACCTTCAATCTTTTGGTGAAAATGCCGACCAACTGTGCTTCACTTGAGCTATGCCTAACTTCAAGTTCACATTGATTTACTTTTTCCTTCAAGAAGTGAAACCTTGCTTCAATATGTTTACTTCTTGCATGTCGAACTGGATTCTTTGCCAGATTTATGGCTGACTTGTTGTCGATTTGCAATACTAGAGGTTTCTTCACTTCGATAGTCATTTCTTCAAGTACAGATCTGATCCAAATTGGTTGACATGCAGCATAGGATCCTGCTATATATTCAGCTTCACACGATGACAATGCCACCACAGGTTGCTTCTTCGAACACCATGAGATTAGGGCACCAAATACTTGAAATAAATATTCAGTTGTGCTTCTTCGATCTTCCTTATCTCCACACCAATCAACATCTGAAAAACAATTAACTATTTCTTCTTTACCTTCTTTTCGAAATAGTATTCCACAATTTATTGAACCCTTCAAACATCTCAGGATTCTTCTTGCAGCCTTCATATGTGACACTCTTGGTTCACCCATATATCTGCTTACTAATCCGACTACGAAACCTATATCAGGTCGACTGTTACACACATACCTCAGAGATACCACAATTTGCTTGAACAAAGTTGAATCGACTTTTCTTCCTCTCCGTTCTTCTCCAACTTCACATTTGGTTCGACAGGTGAGGATGCAGGATTCAAATCATCTATTCTGAATCTCTTGAGTATCTCTTTGACATACTTTCTTTGATGTAGCACCATACCTTGCTTCGATATTTGAAATTCCATACCTAGAAAATAAGACAATTTTCCTAGATCCGACATTTCAAATTCCTTCGTCATCAGCTCTTTGAACTTCGACAAGTTCTCCAAACTATTTCCAGTTACTAGCAAGTCATCAACATACAAGCAGATGATTGTTATATCTTGTGCTACAACCTGAACATAGACACCATACTCTGATTTGCATTTGACGAATTCCAATTCCACTAAGTATGAGTCGATCTTCTTATTCCATTCCTTAGGTGCCTGCTTGAGGCCATAGAGCGCTTTGTGTAATTTATATACTTTACTCGCTTCCTTCTGAATCACGAACCCAGGAGGTTGTGTGACATAAACTTATTCGTCTAAAGGACCAATCAGAAATGCTGATTTCACTTCTAGATGGAATGTCAACCAACCTTGGTTGCATGCCAATGCTACTACTAGTCGAATAGTCTCTAATCTTGTTACTGGAGCAAATACTTCAGCTAGTCGAGTCCTGCTCTTTGAAGAAAACCTCGAGCTACTAATCTTTCTTTATGTCTTGTTATTGATCCATCTGCATTGTGTTTCAACTTGAACACCCATTTTACTTCAATAGATTTTGTATGTGCTGGCAATTCGACTAACTCCCATGTGTTGTTTCTTTAGATTGCCTGTAATTCTTCGATCATAGCTAACTTCCCCTTGTTAATCTTCAAGTCTTCGCTATAGAGAGATCTAACTCAAGTCCTCTCATAAATGCACTTTAGTGTGTGGTTGATATTTATTTCAAGAAACCTATTGTGTATCTGACAGTCTATTGAAGAAAGGATAGAGGCATTTATTTTTGTTTCTAATAGAGTCTTCCTAGTTCTTGACCTAATTAGAAAAGTGACTCTGAGTCTTGCTGTTATTGGTTTAGCTGGAGCTTTGACTATTTTTGAAGACCCTGAAGGTGATCAAGGAATGTTTGATTTTCTTAAAGCAGTAATGTGTTCAGAATAAAGCTCAGTTATGTGTTCCACAGGAAGGGAACATATGTCCTACTAGATGTTGGGACATAATGTCAGTAAGTGTGTAGATTCCTGTTGCATAACAGATGCTATGGATGCTAAATAGATGTGTGTTAATCACATATGTTTGGAACCTACTCCTGATTTGGAAGAGGGGGCATATGGGTTGTGTATCTAAGATGTTTTAT